TCATCAGTAAGTGGTTACACTGCTTGACTAGTATAATAGTCAGGGTAAGCCCCTACACTGTAATTCTAATAATAATATTAATTACCAGGACTGTTTATTAAATACTAGCGGCCCCCCGTCGCGGCTTTGCCCGAGACTTACTAAATGGGATGCCATAGTGTGTTGAAACGTAACGTGAAACGTTTTTAGTTAGGAATTTTACATCCATTCTTGACACTTCTCAGAACAAAAATCTTCTTATTAAAAACATATTTCTTCGGAATCCATACAGTTTATTTTATCAAATAATAAAATATAATTATGCTTAAAAGTACCGTGCGTTCCTTATGCCATAAAATAATCGTTGGCCATAGGGGTCCGTAGATTTGCAGTTTCTCCAGTATAATTTACGAAAAGGGCTATTTTTTGAAGTTGTTAAAATTTAAAACTCTAGAAAAATATATATTGAAAAAAAAATTTATTTCTCTTATCTCATAACTTTATTACCACAGCAACAAAGTCCCGGAGATTAATCTCTACACTTTTTATTGCCACAAAAATACAAATACATTTTTTACTTATTTAAACCGCAGACCCTGGAGAAGATCGGTGATTCCTGGTTAAATGCTTAGAGTCGAGAGGGTAACATATGGTCGTCAGTCACCGGGGTTCCCAGTCTTGTGACGAACAACTCCGTTAAAAGCCTGTAACGACTGCCAGCGAATGACTGACTTGGTTTAATAGTGGCCGTCTTTAGTCAACATGGTCTTTTAGTCAATGAATGACTTCCAGAAATAGTAATAAAAATGTATTTGTTGGCAAGGTAGTTTAAACTTAGGTGTCCTTCAAAAGAAATGATGAGATTGATGGTTAAGTAGGGAACATCAATACTTATAATGACCCTGAAAAGGGCTAGGGGTGAAACTTCCAGCTATTCCTTATTATTATTCTTGATGATAAAGAGCTGGCTGCAGGTAGCTTGACTCTTACCCTCAGAGTCTCAGTATATACACATACGGATACCGTACAGGAGGAAAGTACGCCACTGACCAAAGCGTATCTCGTCTTCAGGTCGTTCTCTGGATAACCAACCATTCATCGTTAGTCGAGGAAGTGGGCCTAGAGAATGTCTTCTCTGTGAATATGACGTTGGGACGACCACTAAGAAAAAAGCCATTGTGGCTGCGCGTGCTTCTCAGAGCTGTCCTCTCTGGCTTTTATTTGCAGTCGAAAATTCTCTGACGGCATCAGGGTAGATGGTGGAACAACCACATAACTCTGAAGTATTGGAGCAGGTTGTGCACTGACTAGACACGTCTCCTGTTATTCTGCTGGAGAAGTTATTGATTAGAATTATTATTTAGTGGGGGCCTTCGTCAATCCTGGATGATAAGGATGGAAGGAGACCTAGGTCACTTGCCCATTGGAGGAGAGTGTCGTTGATATCCATGACACCCAGATGCTCGAACTTTATTTACATTCTCGATACAGCTCGATGAACTGCTGGTAGACAAATGCGATAACTTTTGAGACGTTCCAGCCTATCATAACCATACTTATTTAATTCTGTTGCAGGTAGCTTCAATTTCATGTCAATGCCACCTATCAGATTCTACTAAGCTAGCGTGAAAAGCTGCACCTCACTTACGTATTTTTTCCCGCTGAATCTAAATATGGCATTAGAATAGACCTATTACTTTTTAATTCTCCCGTAGATGCCAAAAAGTACCTTTAGAAAAATATCACAATGGACTATACTTTACTACTTTTGCACATACTTAGTCGTGTAGTTGAATTGGAATTTCAGAGTGAATTTAGCTTTTTTTCCAGTTCTTCTCTAGATACCAAAAAGTCTCTAGAATTAAGTAAAATTGGTTTTATTATCTTATCTTTAAAAGAAAATTACATTTGACTATATTTCTTAACGTTTGCGTATACGTGGCCCTTATATCAAACTTTTACTTCAAATTAAACTTAACTTTTTTCAGTTGTTTTCCAGAAGCTTGCAAGTCCCTAGAATTTACTTACATCAGATTTTCTTAGTGTATCTTAAAAAAAAATACATCGGACTATATTTCACTAGTTTTGCGTGTATTTGGTTGTGAATTAGAGTTCTAGTTTCCAATGTTCCCAGCAATTTCAAATCTTTCTTTAGAAGCTAAGAGCACTGTCACACAATGTTGTCATTACAACCGGCTTATCCACATTCAAGGTTTTCAAAATACATGACAACTTTAGAAAGTTCAGAATACAATAATTTTATTCCTAACTTACCAACGTTTTTAAATATATTATAGAGTTTATATTATGATACGCAGATTTTTATGTTAACGTATACGCTAACAAGCAACCCTACTCATCATAATCCAAAGTTTTTAAAATATTTAAAAATGTTAGAGAGTACGGAATGAAATTATTTTATTCCGAATTTTCTGAAGTTTTCGTATGTTTAAAAAACTTAGGATATGGATAAGGAGGTTTCGATGACAATGCTGACGTAGCATCTAGCAAAATTTACTTCTCCGGTATATCTTAAAAAAAAATTGCAATGGACTATATTGGACTACTTTTTGCAAATATTTGGTTATTTGATTCAATGAATCCTGGTTTTGAAATTAACTCAGCATCCATCACTTTTCTTTTAGAAGTCAAAAAGTCTCTAGGATCGAGCGAAATAGTGTTTTTTCCCATATTATCCAAAAAATAAATCACAGTGAACTTCACTATAAAAAAGATATTTCACTACTTTAACGTATATTTTGTCGTTAAATTTTCTTTGTTAGATAAATTCGCAAGTGTAAAGTCCAATTACAACAGCCCGTTACCTAATGAATTAAGGGAACATATACGTGGTGATGGTTGTCAACGGAGTAATTTCGTGATCCGGTATAGCCCTGCATTACGGCTTTCATCCCATTATGTCAGATACATGATGCAAACGTGCTAGGATACAGGGTGTCGAAAGCCTAGTATCGGTGGATAATCAGAGTTGGAAAGCGAGCCTTTAGGCGTTAACATCAAGCAACTGTAGTCCAACAGTGGTTGGTAACTTGGCTGTTGTTGAACAAGTAACTACAAGAAAACTGCATGGTAGTCCATTTAAAAATAACCCAAATATTTTCTGCTACGTTTTGCACTGAATTTTAAGTTCAAAAGAATCGTCATTCAATAAGTAACAAGTTGAGAAGCACATTTAAAGAGTCTTTTGGGTTTGAAATGTTGGACGAGATGACAGAGTGGGTATCGTATTTTATTTGTGGATCATGTGATGTAATCTTTTGACGTTATGCGAAAGATAAGGACAGTAACAAGCTATTAATTTCTATTTCAGAAAATTTAAGTAAGCCTCGATCTAAAAAAGACTGTTACTTTTGTCAAACTAAGTTAGAAGGTTTCAATCAAGCATCCCATAACGGAGAAGCAAGGGGACTCACGCTAATCAGCGATACCATAAAGTGAGAGGCAGAGGGACTGACGCTAATCAAGCACCCCAGAGGAATTGTATCCATGCTACGTTAACGTCATTACACCTGGGTGATGCTAAAAGCAAAAAAAGACGGAGAAGAAGTCTTTGTGCCGTTTTCAGAGTTGAGGAATAATCTACTGGGTGAGGACACTGAATAAAGTTCTTCCTTTTTTCTGACAGTATTTGTGTAGCACTACCGATGAGTGATTATTAAACTAGAATAGCACATTTAGGTCGATCCTAAATGCTTTTTAGCTAAAATAAAACTAATGTATGCCAGATTAAAAAAGCGTCTTAATTAAGCGCCCAAAAAAGTACAGACGTAACACAGTCTTGTACAATATATGTACAATTTTGTGAAAATAAATAAAACTAGCTAATCCTGCTTTGTTCTAAAGACTTTTGAGATTTTACGGGAGAAATTTAAGGATACCCAAATGATTATGGAACGAGATTAAAATTTAGCAACTATGTATAGGTACAAGTAGTAATTATAGTCCTTTGGAAATTTTTCAAGTAGATTCGGAAAGAAAGCCAATTTTGCTTGATGCTACGGCCTTCTTGGCTTCTAGAAAAACACTTAAAAATGCAAGAAACATCCCAAAAACAGAATTCAATTTCACAACCAAATATACGTATGAGTAGTGTTATATAGTCTGACGTTTTTATTAAGAAATGCTAAAAAAGTCGAGTTTCATGGATTCTAAGGACTTTTAAGCTTCTAGGGAGAGCGTGCAAAAAGTTAAGTTAAATATTAAATAATAATTTGATACAAGAATCATATATACGCAAACGTTGAAAAATATAGTACATTGTGCCAAATTATAGATCTTAGTTGATTCTAGGCACTTTTTGGTATCTAGGGTAAAACTGAAAAAAGCTCGGTTGACTCTGAAATTACAATTTGAATAAACGACTGAACATGTGCAAAAGTAGTAAAATATAGTACACTGTGATATTTTTTTTAGATAAGCTTAAATAGCCGATTCATTCTGATCATAGGGACTTTTTGGCATCTAGGGTAAAGTTAAAGGGTGATAGGTCTCTTCAGACGTCATATCCGGATTCAGCGGGATAGAACATGTAAATGAAGTGTAGTCTAGTCTGAAACAAATTTTTTCTTTTTTGTGAAGCTGAGTAATTTTATGCATTGCATAAGAGTATGTATACTCTAATAAAATGAAATACTTGTATGGTTAAAAAAAGTCTCATTGGTAATTACCTCGAATCTAATAAAAGGAGTAAAAAATATTTGCTGAGCTGCACAGTAAGAAGTTTTTTGATATTTTTTTTTCCCATGCATTCTACATACCCGATAACAACGTTTATTTTAATTAAATAATTGTGGAGTAAGGTTTTGTAGTATACATTCTTAGTCTCTATATAATATAATTACTTCGCAAAAAACTGTTTATTATTTCAATGAAAAAATAGTAGAGTACCAAATAGTTGAATGAATTAAGTCTTCAACATCTTTATACTAATTTCAATTTTGATTGACTGTAATTTGGAAATCTTATTTTTTGTTATTAATAAATGACCAACCTGCTTACAGAAAACTGGCCTCTCTAATGATCGAATAACAATAAACTCTGGCGTTCATAATCTTCGTAATATAGGCAATATTATACGTGTCAATGGAAAAAGTACTCGCAATATTTGGCACAATAAATCTTGTGACAAAATTGAAGGATCAGATGGTAGTATTTTTCCACCTAAAATATTACAAAACTATGGTGATGTCATTAAGGTATACGCTAAAGAGATGTGCAGACCTATTTCTTTAGAGTATTCACATACGAATCATTCAAAAGGAATTCCAGTATTACGGTAAGTGAGCTTAGATTAACAAACAATTTACTATTACAATTATCAATAAATTCATATTTTGTGTGTACAAACATTACCTAAATGACAAAAAAGTACAAAATTCTTTCCAGCAGAGCTCTAATTGGCTCAGGTATGAGTGGCAAGCTAGTAACTTCCCCTCAAAGTTTGAAAATAAGGAAATATTAAAAGAGATCTTTATAAGAGAATTTAAAGACAGTTAAAGGAAGATTATGCTAACAGACGCCGAGTGACTACGGCTCTTAACTGACGGGATAGCGTGGTGAATATTCATGGTTGAGAAAATGAGACTTAGACGATTCAGACCTATTGTGGAACAGATGTATCAATACCGTATATTATCAATAATACTTGTTAAATTCTTACCGTGAGGGGGTTGACTCAAGTAAAAACAAAAACTAAAATGCTTTTCATTTTTAGTTCTTATTTTTTTAAAGATACAATAAAATTACTCTGAGTACTGTATCTATCGAGGGTCAAAGTAAATTAGGACGATTCTTGAGTATTTAAGTAAAAACTAGACGTAAAATAGACACTTATCTATAAAGCTCTTTTCTGGAGAGCGCAGTTGGTTTGTGATCATTCTTAGAATTGAAGAGGGATAACGAAAAGCTTCTGGGTCGATACAATTTCTAGTACGGTAGGTTCATAGTTCCTATGAACTAATGCTACTTCAATTAAAAGGCACCTTTACCTTGTTTTTTTATAAGACACCGTGTTAAAACGTCGAAATTTAGTAAATTTTTTCTAAAAAACTTTCCTGGTAAGAAATCTGAAAAAAAATCTTGACTTTTAATATACTTTAATGTAACATTAATTTTTTTGTCACAATTCAACATTTAAAATTTTTTTTCTCCTAACTTCCTTGAAGTAGTGGCCATCATCATGTTCATCGTCTTCTGTAATGAAATAGTTCCCTTAATTTTCTGGCTTTATTTCATTTAGATGTTTGAGTATTCTTTTATCATCCTTTTCTTAAATGATGTGTTGCCTATTAAATATATCTATTATTCAATAACGACCAATACATGTCCTACCTAATTAATTGCTGCACCTTTCCTTCAAAGCGTACTTAGATCTCGAGGTTCGAAGCAGTATTGTTTAATTTTTTGTCATAATATTTTTTTAATTAACATTCAAAATCCGTAAATGTGTCTTTGTTAATATTTTAAGATGACATATGTCTTATATCATTGAGCCAAGTTATTAGTTTGCTAATGTTAGTGGTATACGTCCAATTCATCTGTTAGTATAGTAGACAGAATTCGGGATGATTTGTGGTATACTTATTTGTGTGGTGCAAAGTTTTTTATTCCGTGTACATTCATGTTAAATGAAAATAGGGCAAAGAATGATACTTTATCTTAATCTTTGTATTTTTTAATATATTCTCTAGTACATTTTATTAGCACTAAGTTGCTCTACTCTAATGCTCCTTTCCATTGTTGATGATATCCAAATATAGTACTTGTTTGATTCTACGGTTCCAATTTAAACTGAATGTTATTTCATTTCTAAGTTTTGTTAGCAATGTGGCCTTTGATAATGATTTGAGCGGTGATTTTAATTGAAGTTTGACCTTGGAATCTAGCAATCGCTGATGTTTGATTTTTTCAGCTTTTCTTAATCTTGGTGTGTCATTTTCTTGCAGGATTAGGACAACTAAGTTTCCTGTAAAGGTTGCTCTTGTCCTATTCTGAACTTTTGAAAGTAGTTAAGATCTTTGCTAAAATGTGGTTGATGAAGTTGGTAGAACTACAGCTTTTGGCAATACAGGATTATAAGGTAGGACATCTGCGTTCACCTTCAGGCGTTCGGTTTTCTGCAAGAGTAGGTGAGTACACCATTTAAAAAGTTTTTGTACATTTCATCGGCATCTCACTGTCACTAGTTTTGTTATGAGCTGATACGTCTCTAGTGCTAAATCTTTTAATATATTTACTTATGATAGTAATAGCTAAATTTTGAAAGTCACAAGCTAACTATTTTTCCTTCAATTTTGAGAGGAAAGAAAAACCATGAGAGATCATTATAAGAGAGTTTTAAGAAAGTACGAGAAAGCGTATGCTAGGAAGAACTGGAGTGGCTTCGCCTCTTAGCCTACGGTATTGCATTGCGAGTACTCATGGTTGGGAAAATAAGAAATGTGATTTAGATGGCTTAGGCTCGAGAGTCTTGCAAAATGAATGCATAATACAGTTATATTTCAATGAATACAAATTGTTTAACTGTTACCTTGAGAGGGTTGACTGAAGTAACACTAAAGACTATGATGCTTTTTTTTTAGTTCTTATTTTTCCTAAGGTACATTAGAATAACTCTACTAAAATTACTCTGAGCACTCTTTATCCAGTATGATGAACGTTTTGCTAAATCAATGGTTTGAACGAATAGTACTATGAAAACTAAAATTAAAAATGTATTAGTATCAACCAAACAGTGTCATGCTCTATGAGACTAAAATTGTAATTACTGCATAGTGGCCAGCGAGGCAATTCTATAAGCAAAATAGATCCATAGCAAGTGCTGGGACTTGTTATGGTCTTGTCAATTTAGTTTCTGTTACGAGATCAGAATGTTGAATTTTTGAAAAGTGTAGGTCAAAGTAGATTAGGTAGATATTTGGACAGTTATGTAAATTATATGGAACCTTATTATCTACAAAGCTGTTTTTTTTAGAGCGCAGTCAGTGTGCCATGATTTTTAGGGTTTAAAGAGGTGCAAGGTATTTTTCTCCAATGATGTGCACACCTATTGCTCGTGAGTAATGTTGGCGGAGTGCCACAGAGGATCTCGGAAACAGGGTTTAATAACAAATACCCGACCTTGCAAATATATAAATTTGATAAAAATATCTGGGTTATGCTCTGAGGCGTTACAAAAAATCAAAAGGATACAAATTAAAATGTTAATCACTTTTGTGCCATTGCTAATTATATTAGCAACAACAAAAAATGCCCTTTAATAATTTTATTCCACCGTCTGAATACTTTATTCATTCATGGGAAGTTGCTCACTTAAAATCAACATACGAATTTTATTCTAATTCTAGTTTACGAATTTAGGATCTAATTAAACTATACTTATTGTTGAACGACTCCCGTTTCAAGTAAAGCTCAATAGGCGTAACATCAGCCGTTCCCTGGTGCACTTCGTTTACAATATCCTGTATGAATCTAACGCATTTTACCTAACTCGAGTACTTACCAACAACTAAGGACCTAAAGAACAAGCCGAATTCATTTGTAACCCGCTTGGCTTGGTAAGGGTGCTAAACTGCCAAAAAGATCGGACGAATTCCAATTTTTTGGAGTTTTTTAGACCAAGCCCTTGAAGAAAATTGCATTTCCTGGTGACTTTGAATCCACTGGTGCTTGCCATTGTTGGGAATATAATAATTAATAGTCCCATGGAGGGTAACCACAGTCGTAGGTTTCTTAATCAGATATAGCAATTTAGTCAATACATCCACAGCCACTAACACATACTGGACATCACCTGGAGATACTGATAGAGGGCCATAAAAATTAATCGAAAGCAAATCATTGGATCCTTGTGGAATGATTGCCCTCGTCTCGAAATATGTTGATCCCGTATATACCTGAACCCTCTGACAAGAATCGCAGGATCTAATTTCTTTCGTAATCAGCTTCTTAAGCCCCATACACACAGAATATTCTTGGATCATTAGAATACACTGCGTCGACCCCAGATGTCCGTATAGTTCGTGCGTTTTACGCGCAAATAGTGGTACGAGGGACTTAGGAATGACTATTTTAAAGGAGCCTTGGACTTTCTTACGTAAGACATTATCGATAATAACATATTGTCGTGATTCCAAATCTCTCATTTTTCTAATCTCTGGATCGTCCCCATGGATTGCACTTAAACTTTTGAGCCACTCAAAGTGTTCCTGACAGGGTGACCAAGTTAACAATGGGTTGATGAGAAATTTGTCATGCCGATCCCGCGCATCTCCTTCGTATTGACGGCTTAATGTGTCCACCGCTTTATTGTCACTCCCCTTTATATGGACGATTTCCAGATCATAATCCTGACTAACCAACATCCATCTTTCCAACGTCCCGTTTCAACTCTGACAACTAAAAAGAAATGATAACGCCTTATGATCTGACTTTAGGAGGATCTTTACGCTTATGATAAACGAGCGAAACTTATTAGGCGCCCACAAAATGGCCAATAACTTGAGTTCTGTGATATAATAAGTTTTTTCAGCGTTGCGGAGGGTTCGACTTACCATATAGACAGCCCTTTCACACCCATCCCGGCTGACTTGGCACAAAATCGTGCCGATCCCACTGTGACTTGCATCCGTACATAAAGTAAATGGGGCGTTCGCTCGTGGATAAGCCAACATCATTTCCTTTGAAAAAATATTATTAATTTGGTCAAATGCGTCCTCTTTCTCAGAATCCCAATGCCAACGAGCTCTGGATTGTAGTAGCTGCAATAAAGATTCGATGCAGTTGGTCAATGTGGTTGAATATTTTGAACAAAAATTTATCAACCAGTAAAAAGCTTGTAGATGTCAATGTTACTTGGTTTTGGGAATTTGTGAATAGCGGCGACCTTATAGAAGTCGATGAGGATATTGTCTCTCTTCAAGATGTGACCCAAGAAATGAATTTTTTTGCGACAAAAGAATATTTTTTTGAAATTTATTGTCACACCCTCTCAAGAAATTAACTCAAATAGTTTTTCGAGATGTTGCAAATGACTATCAAAATCTTCCGACATTTCCAACCAATCATTCACAAAATTGAAAACGAATGATGAAATCTCATTCCAGATAGGTTCTGCCACTCGGGATAAGGCCGTGCTGCTAATTTTTAATCCAAATGGGACTCTACAGTGTTGGTATGTGCGACTCTGATGGATAAACGCCGTATATTTCCTTGATTCCTTTGCTAAAACGACTTACCAGAAACTAGCAGTAAGGTCAAGGCTTGTCATACAACTTA